AACTCTGTAACTACTACTACTCCGGGTATATTTGAATGTTAGAATCTTCAACTCTGTAACTACACACTCCGGGTATATTTTGAATGTTAGAATCTTCAACTCTGTAACTACACACTCCGGGTATATTTTGAATGTTAGAATCTTCAACTCTGTAACTACACACTCCGGGTATATTTTGAATGTTAGAGCATATTTGATTTTTTGTGAATAAATGAGAAACCATTTTCGTAATAAACCTTCTTGTATATGAAATAAATTGAGATACTATTTGTGTGTATATTAATTATTAACTGCATATAAAGCTGCCAATTTAGAAATGACATACAGAAAACAATTGGAAAGCGATCTAAAAATGTCAGTTAAATCAAATATACATATACAAACAGATTTCTTGCTCGTTAAATACATAATATATATGCATACGTAATATTAAACCCATTTTTGAACTATTGGTAAAATATACACGGTACAACAATATTGGGTGCACCCACATAAATACAAGCGATGATTGGCTGTTGCGAGTGACGTAAATTCATCCAACAATGGATGCCTACACCCTCCTGGGCAGGCCAACTGTTTATGATGACATAGAAGCTGGAGCTCCATACATGGTAATAACATTGAACCAACAAAAGATTGAAAGATAGAATATTGTAGCTCAATGGTTTGTTATAAATCACTAAAGGTGGGTGTTCTATGTTGGTTACTTAATTCGTGTTTTATGTTGGTTATTTCCTTCGTGTTCTATGTTGGCTATTTCCTGTATTATTTGTTGGTTGTTTCCTTCGTGTTTTAAGTTGGTTACTTCCTTCATGTTCTATGTTGGTTGTTTCCTTTCGTGTTCTATGTTGCTGGCTGTTTCCTTTTTGTTCTATGTTGGCTGTTTACTTTGAGTTCTATGTTGATTATTTCCTTGGTGTTCTATGTTGACTATTTCCTTGGTGTTCTATGTTGGCTATTTCCTTGATTTCTATGTTGACTATTTCCTTGGTGTTCTATATTGGCTATTTCATTCGTGTTCTATGTTGACTATTTCCTTGGTGTTGTTCTATGTTGACTATTTCTTTGGTGTTGTTCTATGTTGACTATTTCCTTGGTGTTCTATATTGGCTATTTCATTCGTGTTCTATGTTGCTGGCTATTTCCTTGATTTCTATGTTGGCTATTTCCTTGGTGTTCTATATTGGCTATTTCATTCGTGTTCTATGTTGACTATTTCCTTGGTGTTCTATGTTGGCTATTTCCTTGATTTCTATGTTGACTATTTCCTTGGTGTTGTTCTATATTGGCTATTTCATTCGTGTTCTAAAACCAGTCTACAATTTATAAAATCCTTAAATCGTTTTTATTAAAACGTTTTGAACTAAAAAATATCACTTTAAATTAAATTTTGGTTGTCTTTGGTACGAAATAACCTCTTGCTTAAGTTATCATTCAGGAGAAAAATAAAAAATGAGATTTTAACACATTGCATTAGCGTCATTCGATAGCTCAGCAATATAAAACCACGATCACGCTGAACACTTGTCATAATTCGTGTAATTTACTGATGAAACATCCTTCAAAATAGTTCGTGTCTGTCACCACTAGATGTCGATACTGAGCACAATTATATCGATAAAAACTAATCCAGTACACTAAGAAATATTCAATACAGTTGCTTACATACTGCTGACCACTGTTGATAATATCTTCACGTAGTTTTCTTCTTGTTTCTGTTTGTTGGTGATCTTGAACTTTCCCTAAGAAGGAATAATGAAGGTTTTTAAAATTGGTCAAGTGCTAGAAGTCACGTGTTATCCAATAAATAGATGAATAAAATGCACTTGCTTTTCTTTAGTAACCTAGTCTTTCGTAATTTATTGACGTTAACTTTTGTCTGGAGGAATGTTGCCTGGAAAGCTATTAACTTTAAGACAGCTTTTACTATGATTTATTGACGTTAACTTTTGTCTGGAGGAATGTTGCCTGGAAAGCTATTTACAGAATTTTTCATAACAGACACGCTTTTCTTGAATGTAGATTACTTTGCATTTCCTATAAACATTGAAATATATACAGCGTTTCTTAGTATTTTAATAGGGTTTCATTTATTTTCTTTAACGTAACCTATTCCCATCACAAGTACAAAAAATTATAATACAGAATACATTTAATAAGGTTATGTTCACGTGATAGCAATCCTATTTACGTGTGTCTAAACATTAATGAGGCACAAGAGTAACTTAAAAAACCACGATTTGTAAGATCAATATCTATTATAGAAAACATACTTATGTTAGTGCAGTGACATTTATTTTAGGGTTGTTTGTTTGGGCTGTCTGCTGTGTCCACCGCGGGGAATCGAGCCCCGAATTTTAGCGTTCTAAACCCGTAAACTTACCGTTGTCCCATTTATTTTAGCATTGTTTGTTTGTTTCGTTGGCTGGTTTTAGAGCAAAGCCACATTGGGCTATCTGCTGTGTCCACCGCGATGGAATCGAACTCCGGATTTTAGCGTTCTAAGTCCGTAAACTTACCGTTGTCCCCATTTATTTTAGGAAACATGCTCCATGGAGTACGCCTCCTACAATAAATATTAGTATGCTTACAAATCGTAGGTTGTTAGTTTACTAACGTGTTAACACAATATCCTTCCTTGTGCACGTGAAGTAACTTTACCTGGATCACGTTGATCTAGCGATATATTTGTACAGAATCTTGACTTTCCTTCACTTTTTGGAAGTTCATTTTCTTTGGTCGTTTTTTGGTTTAGTCCCTCCATTTCCTTTGGAAGTTCTTCTTTTAAAGTTTCGGTTTCAACCAGTGGAGTACTTTGTATCTGATGATTATCATTCTCTTCAAGATCACTTTTGACCTTTTCTCTAAAATTAAAGAAATACTACGTCATAGATTTCCGTTGTTAGTTAAAAACTATTCCTTAGAGCAGTGATTCCCAAACTGTTTTAGTCTGAGGCTCACTTGATGTAAATAAACAAGTTTAAGGCCATCCAACCCATAACTTTAGCATGGTGATTGAAAAACAGTGCCGTAGTAAAAATAATAACATTCTGTATCATTTAATTAATTCAACATAATTTTTATCGGCTTATTGGTTACTTAGAATTAAAATTAATTTAGCATCTTAGTTTCCGGCTCATTTTTAAAGTTTAATAACACGATAATATAACCCCTAACATTATCAGCTACAATTATGTCGATAATATTAAATAATTTATTTCCTAACGAAAAACGTATTTTTAAACGTTAATTCGCTGTTCACTGTAACTCGCGTACTTTAAATGTTTAGCATAAAGCTGTAATAACTTTAATGTCAGATGTTTATTACAAGTTTTTAAAAGTGCTGACAAAAACTTAATGTAAAAAAAAAAAATTACGTTTGTAATCCAGCATCCTCTTCAAAAACCATGGGTAAGAGAGACGAACTGGCGAGTTTTCTACGATTGGCTTTCGCTTCAGGAAACAGATCTATTCCAGCCCCCCTTTTGACCACTAACTCCATAGTATTGGTTGATCTGACTAAATCCAAAACCTGTCCAATTACAGATAACAATAACAATCAACTTCGTCATGTTTAACATAATAATAATAATTATGTTTATATATTTCTATGATTGTGTATTTGCTACTTTAACGGATGATTTAAACTGTCGATTATAAAGTCACTCTTCAGACTTTATCACTACCAAAAACGTTCGCTCTTAGAAAACGCCAATGTTTATCAGGGATTGCTTTTATTGCAATCTGAAAGCTTTATTTTCATAATTCATGTTATAATTTGTTACAGTATAAGGCAATACATATTAGTTAATCACGATGTTTCATAAACTACTTAATGAAATAAAAAGCTTATACATTTGAGACTATCACTCTCTTCTTACATATTTAGCATAATATTGACCTTTATCATTGACATCTGACATAGCCTACTAAAAAATCGGTATCGTATTTATAATATAGTTTTTAATTACCCCAGAGCAGATGATAAATAAGGAATCATATATGATTAAATAATGTATTCCAATGAATTTTCTGTGCGTGTTTATTATATTTTAGCTATATTCCACAGCTCCAATATCGGAGCCAGGTATGACGTAATAACAAACATCCCACAACACTGATTTCTAACTAACAATATACATTTATGAACCTTGAAATGCTCTCTAGTGTGCAACAATGGTTACACGAGCATTTTCAGATAATTACTAGAAATTAAGACTTCGATTAATTATTTAGTCAATTTATACTACGTTAAGAGTCTAAAGGATCGTAGACAGAGATGAGACCAACACTCGCCAATTAAACCGCCTTCATGATTCAGATGATAAATCAGTTCAACATATAAAGAACTGAAATTGATTAATTAATCCATTGATTACATCAGACAGCTTCCGTACGAATTACAACTGTTTTTTATTATCTTGAAAAATGTTTTTACCTTTGAAAGTTCTGCATTAAAAACGTTGTGATTGTTCATAGCTGTTATCTGGTCTCCAATTTTAATACCTGCCTTATCAGCCAGGCTACCAGCTTCCACAGATCCAATAAAGATTCCACGCATCTGCGATGGACCTTTCATCAGACTGTTAAAAGACATTAGATGTATTGCTATTTTATAATATTTTAAACAGTGTATTTGTATTTACCATTTTACGGCAAAGCTACTAAGACTATCTGCCGCCATCCCTAAACTTAAACTGATCAATGGGAAGGCAGTCAGTCAGCACCATCCTGCCATCCACGCCAATAGATTGGTTGTCACTTTTATAACTCATCCATAGCCTAAAGTACGGAGAATATTTTGTGGTATCGCATGGTACCCGGCTTAACAACTCCAAAATATAGAGCTCTACAACAGGACCGCGCTCTTCTAACAGCGAATAACAGCGTCTGTTATTGAGACTACTTCATTTATGACCATACTTAAGCCCGGTGATACCACGTGGCTTTATAGGTTCTTGGTATCGTTTTGGAAAGAACATTTAATACATACCATTAAAATATAAAACAGCTCTAACTTGTTAAAAAAAAGACAAAGTGGTAGTTATTGATGGGTTCTTTTAACAACTTGAAAACATTGTTTCAAAACATAATTTGACATCAAAAGGTTAGCTCATTTAGAAATACTATTATATTAAATAACACATTGGACCAAAACGACTATAGAGGGCACTAATAACTCCCTTTTCAATATGGTAATGAAATCATTGTTAAATGTGGACAGCTACAGGTTCTTCACTCTTTCCAGTAATACAGGTTATATTAATGACATGTGAGGTTTATTGTATCATCAGAGAAAGATCAACGTTTCGAGATTTCTTCGTATTTTTTAATATTAAATTTTTTAAGTGAAAAAAAAAAGGCTTCGGAATCTCTAGCTACCAGTGAACTATCCTAGATTACAAGCTGCCCCTGTCAGTTTTCACTTAGAAATCCTTTCATTACTTCTTGACAAGTATGAAAACCAAATCATATGAAGTCTATCCACAGTATTACATTTACTTTTTAAAGCCCCTTAGGAAATAATGACATCATCATAACGTAATATTTTTTATTCGATTTTTATGTGAAAACAGACCCCAGGATTGGAACTCTGACCCGTAACCTTCGGCTAACAGCGCTAGTGCCCTTCGTATTTTCTGTTTGATGACGTACAACTTGAAGGAAAAACCGTTTACGAGTTACATTATTTATGCATTTCAACTCGTACGTATTGTAATTCATCAACTGTAAGTACTTTCCAGAATTTATTGAGAGTAACATTTACGTCTTAAACACCAAAACCTGAAACTGGTGAAAGCTATCGTGATTATTGCTAATTTATCGCAGTTCTTGTGATCAATAAAGAGCTTCTATTTGGAAGAGAACCTTAATATATTTCAAAGCCAGATATCGTAATAACCAAATATTGATAGCAAGGAGTGGTCTTCTGGTAGAACTCTGGATTTCTGAGCTGGCGAGCCGGGTTCAAATCTGTGCGATACCATAAAAAATATTCCCCGCATTTTAATGTCCAAGTGAGTTATGAGAAAGACAGTCAATAGATGGTGTCTTTCTTCTCGTCAGTAGTTCCAAACGAAGAACGGGGGCAGATTGCATTGAATACAATACACCCTCAATGGCATATTGCCTTGAATACAAATACAATAATCCTTATTGGCAGGCCTTGAATACATTACACCCTTAACGACAGGCCTTGAATACAATACACCCTTAATGGCAGATTGCATTGAATACAATACACCCTTAATGGCAGATTGCCTTGAATACAAATACAATACACCCTTAATGGCAGATTGCCTTGAATACAAATACAATAATCCTTATTGGCAGGCCTTGAATACGATACACCCTTAATGGCAGATTGCTTTGAATACAATATACCTTTAATGGCAGATTGCCTTAAATACAACACATCCTTATTGGCAGGCCTTGAATACAATACAATACACCCTTAATGGTAGGCCTTGAATACAATACACCCTTAATGGCAGGTAATAATAATAATAATTCCTTCCTGCTCCTTTGTCGGAGTTTTGCAGTATTTTCTCTGTAAATTCTTCCCATAACACATATTACAAGAGAATGATTTTCACCCAACTTGCCGCTCCCGATGTCTCAAGGGTGAGCTTGAGAGCTTATAGCATTAGTATAAAGGTTAGATACTCGCTGTTAGCACAAAGAAGATTAAACTGTAGTGTTGATTTGAACACAAATAAACAAAAGTATTTATACGGAATAAATTCACCAAAGAATCCAACTTATGCTGGTAAAAATATATATATATCAATATATTCCAAAGTGTTTTTTTCACCATAATCCCGAAAACTTTTTCGGGATTCTTTAAATGATTAAAGAAGAAGAATTGTAATATATTTGAAGAGACTGACACAAGTTAATATGGTTAACACACAACTTGCTTAATTTGGAATTATTCTGTACATTTCAGTATCATTCTCTAACGTTAATCTTTAGTCTTACAACAAATGCAAATAACCTGACACCGAAATACTTGTCAGGCTTTTTTCTCGGGTGCATTTTTTTTTTTTTAGATTTCTGTCAATCTCTGGTTAAGAGGTAAAACAAAAAACGGATGAACGTAAGAAACAAGGCAATAATACAACTCGACAAGGGCTATCAACAAGTATGCTTAACTGTTATGTGTGCGAGCAGTAATCCCACGATTTTCTTGACTATAGCATTAATATAATGATCAATTGATCTGCAACTACAACCTTGTTCAATAATTAAATCAGAGATTACGACCATGATATTATATTTATTGCACTTCCCATTAGAGAAGAGACGAAAATGAATAACAACCTACAAGTTTAAATCAATCATTACCAAGTATGTTTAGGAGTGGCACGGCTGTCATATTGTTATATACTGTTCATCGGCACGACTGTAATATTGTAACAAGTGTACTGTTGCCTGGCGCTAATGTGATATTGGCATGGCGACTATCATGTGTGTTAATAAAACATCTAGCAAATACGAATAAGGGGTTTATACCTTGTTGATTTAAAATTCTTGGCTTAAAATAACTGGTGATCAGCGAACAAGTGTTAGAAAGTACTACAAACAACTACATTATAGTAAAACACAACTAATATATGTATATGTGTGTGTAGAGACAGAGAATAAATGCTTTTTTATAATGTTAAGAAATTTCTACGCGTCATTATAATGATGGCATGTTATAAATACATAATGATTTTGAAATGAAAAAAATTTAGCCTAATTTTCCATAACGTAGAGAAAAGTAAAAAAAATCCGTCGTTACTCATAGATATTTATATTTCTGGACTTCATTATAGATTATAAAATAAAAATAGTTTGGTATATTTTCCGCTTATTTTTTAAATGTTAGAAATTACAATGTTTCATAGTTGTCACTATCAATGTCAATTTTCTTCTAATGAGGAAAATATAGTACACATCACAGTATATAAGACCGATCATAGCGGTCTGCACGACAAAATAACTACATTTTTAATCTTCTAGAATCGAACAAACCTCCATCCAACACCAGTTGTTCCAATCGAAGAAATGCAAATTTTGGTGTCAATACTTCCTTCTGTTTCTTCTTGTTCAGAATCAAGGTAAAACTTTGAGGTTTAAAGAAAAAACGGAAAAATATTTATTTTATATACGTCAAGTCTTTTTATAAACACAGATATAAATAAAAACAGAAATTTAAAAAAATTATTATGTTTTCGGTAATTGTGTATATTAGCACATAACAGCTAGATTCTTTATACTATATCGTTGCCCCTCAGTGGCTCAGCAGTAAGTCTGAGGGCTTATAATGCTAAAAATTGGTTTTCCATACCCGCAGTGGGCAGAGCACAGATGGTCCAGTGTATAGCTTTGTGCCGAACAACAAATAAAACAAACTATATCGTTGTTTTAATACTTGATTCACAATCATCTGGTGACAATTTAAAGATAAGGTATGATTCTAGGAAATATTTCCCGTCATCCTCTTACAACATAAGTACATAATACACCCGATACGTATAAATACACTAAATAGTTTTTAACTTGTTGATCTCCATGAACTTAAATCTTTGACGTGGGCTTTAGTTTAAGAAAATCTGATTCAGTTTAATGACGACTTTACTAAACTTGATTTAACATACTTCGCACAGTTTCTCTGAATAACTGTCTTCAGTTGTTTTGGTCGACGGACAAAGTTACAGGCAATTAAAAATACAAGCACTTCGAACAATTAAAGTTTCACAAAAATCACGGAAAATTAGTATTGTTGCTACAACAATAAATTTATCATGTAGAAAAAATATAGCATAACAATAACTTTATAAAGGTTATGCAAAATATCATTTGCTAAGGACGTAGGAATAAAAAGAACTCGCTCTAACGTGTTAAAATCTACATGTTTACCACTCGTATTATGCCCTACATCAATATGTACATTCATTAGTTATCATATCTGCATCATTTTTTACGTAGCCTATAAAATCGTTAAACAATAAACTACTAGTCACGATATAATTCACAAAAGGCCATACAACCGTGGTCAAGGCAATCGTAAATGAAACAACCAGACAGAAAAAAAGAAAGAAAAAGAAACATGAACTACCAAACTAGTTACAATTGGGCTTTAACGTTTTTAATTGCCCTAAAAACGTTCAACTACTAACTAAATCAACGAAAAACTACCATCTTTTGTTTTTAGTTTGTTTGGGAAACATAATCACTTTATTCACTCCTTTCTGTTGATATTTTAAATTTATTTTGCCTATCGTATCTTGTACATTATTTCTCTCCTATTAGTATTCTAAATTATTTAGGCCTACCTGTAGCTGGGTTATTTATTAGTTTCTGTTGAGGTTGTTTTAATTTATTTTACCTATCATATCTTGTACATTGTTTCTCCGCTATTGGTATTCTAAATTCTTTAGGCCTACCCGTTATTGGGTTATTTATTAGCTTCTGTTGTAGTTGTTTTAATTTATTTTACCGATCGTATCTTGTACATTGTTTCTCTTCTACTTGTATCCTAAATTCTTTAGGCCTACCTGTGGTTAGTTTATTTATTTATTTATCAGTTTCTATTGTTGTTTTTTTAATTTATTTTACCCATCGTATCTTGCACATTGTTTCTCTGGTATTAGCATTCCAAATTATTTAGGCCTACATGTAGTTTGGTTATTTATTTATTTATCTATCAGTTTCTATTGTCGTTGTTTTAATTTATTTTACCTATCGTACCTTGTACATTGTTTCTCAGCTATTGGCATTCTAAATTATTCAGGTCTACATGTAGTTTGGTTATTTATTTATTTATCTATCAGTTTCTATTGTCGTTGTTTTAATTTATTTTACCTATCGTATCTTCTACATTGTTTCTCTGATATTAGCATTCTAAATTATTTAAGCCTACATGTAGTTTAGTTATTTATTTATTTATCTATCAGTTTCTATTGTCGTTGTTTTAATTTATTTTACCTATCGTATCTTGTACATTGTTTCTCTGCTATTAGCATTCTAAATTATTTAAGCCTACATGTAGTTTAGTTATTTATTTATTTATCTATCAGTTTCTATTGTCGTTGTTTTAATTTATTTTACCTATCGTATCTTGTACATTGTTTCTCTGGTATTAGCATTCTAAATTATGTAGGCCTACCTGTAGTTGGGTTATTTATTAATTTCTGTCGTTGTTGTTTTAATTTATTTT